CCCCCCCCCCTTTAAAAAAAAAAAAAAAAAAAAAAAAAAAGCCCTGTAATCACCAGCTCTGGCAGCAGGGATCAGGGCCTCTGAGTGATCATGGCAGAGTGCCCCCGTGCAGGGCAAGGCAATGGGAGGCAGCAGGGATAGTCCCCATGCTTAAGAGGTGCAGGTCCCTTAGTCTCTCCTCATAGGGCTTGGCCTATAAACCCTTAACTATATGAGTGGCCCTCCTCTGGACCCTCTCGACGCTATCCGCATCCTTCTTAAAGTATGGAGCCCAAAACTGGATGCAGTACTCCAGGTGCAGCAATGCCGCATAGAGGGGAAGGTATGGCCTCCTTGGTTCTATCCACACGCTGTCTGGGAGGTGTGGCAGCTTCACCTGTCAGCTGGAGAGTGGCACCATGCAGCCCCAGCAGCCCCAGATCCGAGACAGAGTGCAGTGCCCTGCTGAGCCACACTGAACCTGCACGATGCAACAGCTGCTGCGTGGGTGCCAGGCGAGGGGGACGATCCCTGCTGCCCCCCATTGCCCCACGCTGTGCGGGGGGGGGGGCTCTGCCATGAGTGCCCAGGCACCCCAATTGCTGCTGCTGCAGCTGGTGAGTGCAGGGCTTTTTTTTCCCAAAGTGCTGGGACTAGGCTGAGGCCGGGCGGGGGATGGGACCAGGCAGGACAGCCATGGGGCCTTCTCCCGTGGCTCCCTCCACCTGGCAAGAGGCAGGCACAGCTGGAGGAACCATGGGAGAACCTGGAGCCGCCCAGCTGTACCTGCTCCCTGGCCTATCAGAATCTCTAAATCTTTCCGAACTGGCATCGAATCTTCTGAGGCCAATTCAGCCAAAACAGTTTGAGACAGTGAAATCTCTGAATTGAATCACCTGTCCTCCAACTCATCTGAATCCAAATCCAAATCCAGATCAAATACTTCCCTATTCGCACAGGCCTATTACACGTGTATGCAACTAAGGTTCAGTCTGTGGCAGAAACTTTTTGCCAGTATAGCTATGTTTGTGGGGAGGCACGATTTTTTTTTTTTTTAATAAAAATGTTATTCAAACAAAAGTCCTAATAAGGATAGTTATGCTGGCATAATTTATTTTACTTGGGAAACTGAAATAAGCTGTACACACATAACAGTGCTTTTGCTAGTATAAGGCTGTGAACAGACCCAACACTAAATTAAGAAAAATGCCAGACTTACTGCTCAGGAGCTCACATATGCTGAACTGATATAACAGTTTGTCTCTCCAGCTATATTGGAGCTAAACTGTTGTAATTTTTTGAAGCTGAATGAAACAAATCTAGTGTTTACAGCACTCTAAGCTTGCAGTTAAAGCGAAGTAAATTAAACAGATGAAATTATTACAGGTTTAGCTTCTGTGGTGCTTAGCCAATTCCTTACATTAATGATTCTCAACCAGAGTGATGTGGCATGCTGTAGAGACATGCAGTTACCTACATAAGATTGAAATAGGCATCCATAGTATCAAAAGCATTCTGACCTGCTGTGCTCTTGCTTTGTTTTTTGCAACAGAAGAGTTGCTTTATTATTTTTCCATAGTCAAAAAAACAAGTTGAAGGTAAAAACCATTTTCCAAGGAGTGCCTGGAGTCTAATGAGGTTGAGAACCACTGCATTATACCACATGTCCAAGCAACACCCATTTCCCACATGGAGAGTAGAATATTATAATCTTTACATTTCTGTTGCTGGCATGAACCCTTATTTTGTTTTGTGGCCAGAAAATGCTCTGTGGCAGGGGAGAATATATAGAAAGACATACTATGAAAGCTATATTTTATCATGGCATGTTTTCCTTACTGTTTGCCTAATTGCCTTAACAAGAGAATTAAAAAGATTAATTATAATTTTGAGAACTTTATATGGGTAAATTTATATTTGTTACCTTGTTCTCCACAGACTATGCTGACAGCCATATCAATGAGTGCTATTGCAACTAATGGCGTTGTTCCAGGTAATTAATGACCTGCTTATTTGGTGCAGTTTTTAAACCAATTTTTGCTTACTCTTCCTCTTATTATCATAAACTGAATGGTAGACTTTCAGATGGTAATGAATGTATCATAGTGTAATTAAATTTAGACTTTTTTTGCCTTCTACTGAAAAACAAGTGAGAAAGGAAGTCATTATCCAGATGTGTCAAATAAAGTACTGTGTCAAACTTTTCAAGTGTTAAAAAGTAACGAGTTAGAGCCTCAAACTATGACTTTGGCTTAAAAATGATGAGGATGTGTTTGTGAGGGTTTTTAAATTAATTTGGATTTTTTATTTCCCTTGTAGTTTTTGTAGTCTTTATGGTGTTAGTTTATTCACATTTACAAGCTTTCCTCTGATACAGTGAGGATTAATAGGATTAATTTACAACCTCATACATATGTTCTGTATATTCTGAAATGGCAGATTCACAAGTGGTGTAAAAATATCCTTATCCTTTCTTATCTTGTAGCTGGTGGCTCCTATTTCATGATCTCAAGGTCTTTAGGTCCAGAGTTTGGTGGAGCTGTCGGACTGTGCTTTTATTTGGGAACAACATTTGCAGGAGCTATGTACATACTTGGTGCCATTGAGATTTTATTGGTGAGTGGTAACACTTATGTGACAAGTTACTTTTAGAAAACACTGCAACATTCCTGCCTCTGAGGACAAGGGTCAGAGATTGAAGGCCTGTATTTTCAAGGGTGACTTGGTCTGTTAGGGGCCCAATTCCATACTTTCACAAGTTGTCTGGTGTTCTCCATTTTGAAGTCAGGCTTCTTTTGAGGTGTGCCATTTTAGATATAAAACTTAGAGGTTCTCCAAATCATTACTTTAGAAAACCTAAGTTGAAGTGTTCAATATATCACTGTCAAAGAGAGAATGAATTGGATTGTAGGGTTAGAACTACAAAACTGTCCATTTTCAGATAATACCTGGGTGGGTCAAGTTGCAGGTTAGGATTCAGAATGGGCTAGAATTAATGGAATGAAATTCAGTAAGGACAAATGTGAAGTCCTGCACCTAGGATGGAACAGCCACAAACACAGATCAAGGAATGACTGGTGAGACTACAGCAAAAGGATATAGGAGCTATAGTGGACCATAGATAAATCAATCCATGTGCTCAAGGAAGATGTGGACAAGCTAGAAAGAGTCTATCAGAGAACAACAACAAATTATTAGAAGTTTAGGAAAAATTATTTACAAGAAAAGGTTGAAAGAACTGGAATCTAGTCCACAGAAGAGAAGACTGAGGGTAAATTTGCTAAATTTTCAAATACTTGAAGGTTGTCAATAGACTATTCTCTGTGGCCACAGGAGACAAGATGAGGAGTAAGGATCTTAAACTGTAGAAAGGGAAATTTTGGTTGGATTTGGGGAAGAACTTTAACTATGATGATGGTTAAGTATTGGAACAGAGGGTCTTGAGAAGTTGAAATCTCCATCCTTGTAGATTTTAAGATGGTGGTTAGACAAACTCTTGTCTTGAATGGCTCAGGCAGGGATGGTCCTGTCTTGAATAACGAGTTGGATCAGATGACTTCCTGGTATCTCTCCAAGGCTTATTTTTCTATGATCCTTTAACACAGAACTTCCCTACAGGGTAAAGATCCTTTCTCAAAAGTATTTTATGAATGACAGCTTGATTTATAATTTTGTATATAAAGTGTGTGTTAAAAGCAAATGGGAAGGAGCAAAATGTAATTTAAACTCTTACTTGCATTATTACATCAGTGTAGCATGCTTTCTTGCTCTTTCAGACATATATTGCTCCACAAGCAGCAATCTTTCATCCTACTGGTGCTCATGATGCATCTAGTGCTACGCTGAACAACATGCGAGTTTATGGAACCATATTCCTCATCCTCATGGCCATTGTGGTTTTTGTAGGAGTAAAATATGTTAACAAATTTGCTTCTCTGTTCTTGGCCTGTGTAATAATATCCATATTGTCCATTTATGCTGGAGCTATCAAGTCCATCTTTGATCCACCTGAATTTCCGTAAGTAATCTTCCTGGCTGGGATACATCAACCTGTAATTAAGAAAACCAAACCGAAACAAACAAACATAAAGCCTTTACTTACTGTAGAAGTTTCTTTAAAACTATCTAGCTAATATGTTCTGCATGTGCTTCATTGCTCTAGAAATCAGTTACATTTAAGTCACTCATATATAAGGTAGCTGCAGTCTGAATTTAATTAATGTTTTCTGGCAGAAGCCTGTGTAACAAAGCTTCTTAGGCTAAAATGAAGTGATCCACTGCATTCTTTAACTAGGTTTGGTAGAATGGTGCCTTCTCCAGAGCTGAGGAAAGGTTTGGTGGAAATTGACACTTTACTGTTTCCCCTCCCACAAAGAGCATCTCACACCCTAGGACCCCATACGACTCCCCGTGCAAACTCCGTTAATTTTACAGAGCAAAGTTATTTGGGAGCTTTGGGTACAGGCACTCCTTCTGTGATGCCATGACAGGAGCGGTGACTAGGTCCTAGTGACCACCTTCTTCCTCCTGACTGGTGTGGGTTGTACTGGCCCACAGCCAGAAATATTGCTTAACTCTCATGTAGTGGAGTCAGTTGGGTTCATCTATCTTAATTGCTTCTTTGCCAAGTATGAAGCAGCGCAGAGTAACAAGTAGTGTAAGGATGGTTGGGTGAGCGGGGCACGAGCTCTAGCTACTGCCTAAGGGGGATGCCTTGGCCTCCCAGCCCCACTCTGCTGCCTCCTGTTCTTTCTGGCTCCAGCCTCATGGCAAACAGCTGTGGCACAAGAGCATGTGTCTGTGTTTTAATGACATTCTAGGAAATGTAGTTCATAGAGCAGCAGTGTAGCTCTCTGCTGCTGGGTGAGATGTCACACTGTTTTTTTGCTGCTGAAAAAAGGACCATGTCAAGGACCATGTTAATCAAGGTTTTTTGCCTGCTTGACATGGGTGTCTGTGGCATAAAATGAGGTGACATCTCCTATCATCTCTTAGCTACATGCCATGAACGCCATGTGCCCACAGAGCTTGGGGGGGCACAGCAAGCTCCTGCAGGTGGCAGTGGCACTGTTGGCAGTAGGAACATGGTAGCAGCAAGCAGTGAGCTCCCACAGGTGGCTGCAGTGCTGTTGGTGGGGTGGGGGTGGCTGAGCAGTGATCACTGCAGATGCTGCCAATGGTGTTGGTGGTGGCCAACAGCAATTGGGGACTACCTGCAGACACCGCTGGCAGTGCTGGTGGCAAGGGGGGAGGGGAGATGAGCAGTGATCCCGTTCAGGTGCCACTGGCAATTTTGGCAGCACCTTTTTGCAGGAGGTGCACCGCCAAGCTCAGGGGATGCACATGCACCCCCTACACGTCGCCAGTGCTACATGCTACCATTGCTGGAGCCTCCAAAGCCAGAAAGTAAAAAGAGGGATTGCCATAGGTACATACCTGGCCAGTTACAGCTGGGAGCAGCCGTCTTTGTATAACACACAATCCTAAATTATTTTCTCCTTTCCCCTTCAGGATTTGTATGTTGGGCAACAGGACTCTGTCAAGAGATCAGTTTGATATTTGTGCCAAAACGGTGGTTGTGGACAACATCACTGTGGTCACCAAGCTTTGGCAGCTCTTTTGTCACAATTCAAACTTTACCACTGATAACTGTGATGAATATTTCATGCTTAACAATGTTACAGAGATAGCAGGGATTCCTGGAGCTGCAAGTGGGATTTTAAAAGGTATGATGACAAATGCTGCCGCATTAAAGGAAACCCTCTTAAGTGGCAAACAGAGCAACTGGAAAAGATTGTTCTGCTCAGTGCTGCAGAGGGAGGTTAGACTAACTAATTCAAATTACAGTGAAAAAAAATTCTTGGTAAGCCAAATGATACAGTCCTATAAAGAAAAGATAGTATTAATCATTTTCTTTTCTGATAAGAAGATTGGCTTTTGTGCAGTAAAAATGACTGAATTGGATCTGCACATGTGATAACTTTTAATAGAAAGCCATCTACAATGCCCCATAGGATAAGTTATATGCCATATCGTTTTCAAAAGAATGTTGAAGGATCTGAATTAGAGCACAGTAGGAGAATTTTACTTAATAGATCTTAGATGGAAGGAACATAGAACATAGAAATATATGCATGAAAGTAATTTACTGACTTCCCTGCTTTCTGCAAGTTTGCAGCAGAGCTTTAGAATAAAATCTGGGGCTCAATGAACAACTGTTCACCAGGATACCCTGGGAGTAAACTAGAAACAATGGCCACAAACTCCTGGAAGATAGTTTCATGCTGAACACTAGGAAAAACTTCTTCACAACTAGGGTGTCCAGACTATGGAACAAGCTCCCCCCAGAGGTGGTGCAATCACCTACTCTAGAGGTCTTCAAGAGAAGACTGGATGGTCACCTGGCTGGGGTCACCTTTCCTGCTTATGCAGGGGGCTGGACCTGATGTTCCTTTGGGGTCACTTCCAGCCCTATGAGTCTATGATTCTACAATTAGTCTCCTCTATTCACCACTAGTAAGGCCATATCTGGAGAACTGCGTCCAGTTTTGGGCTCCCCACTACATAAATGATGTGGAAAAATTGGAAAGGATCCAGCAGAGGGCAACAAAAATGGTGAGGGGGTTGGGGAACATGGCTTACTAGGAAAGACTGAGAGAACTGGGCTTATTTAGTTTGGAGAAGAGAAGACAGAGGGGATTTAATAGCAGCTTTCAACGCCCTGCAGGGGGGTTCTAAGGAGGATGGAGCTAGACTGTTCTCAGTGGTGATAGATGACAGAACAAGGAGCAACGGTCTCAAGTTGCAGCAAGGGAAATTTAGGTTGGATATTAGGAAAAACTCTCTCACTAGGAGGGTAGTAAAGCATTGGAACAGGTTACTTAGAGAGATGGTACAATCTCCACCCTTAAAAGCAGATTTTTAAGACCAGGCTGGATAAAGCCTTGGCTGGGATGATACAGTTAGGGATGGTCATGTTTTGAGCAGAGGGTTGGACTAGATGACCTCCTGAGGTCCCTTCCAACCCTAATTTTCTATAATGCTATGAAAATAGAAAATAAATCAGTTTTAAATTTTAAAGGGTACAGGTGTCCTCATTTTCACAAGAAACATTAACACAGCCTCTAAAATAGATGCAGCGTGTATTCCATGCAGTGTCAAAACATATTTAAATGCAAATCAATGCAGTGCCATAATTTTTCTACTTCCTAAAGAATAAATTAGCTTTTGGGCAGAAAACTGGTCAATCCTACCTCTTCAGATTTCCTTAGTTTTTATGTATATGGATGCTGTTTTATTTGATTTGTGTGGCAGTATTGCATTTATCTTGTATTGGCTAGATAAGTTGTATCCATGTGGCAAATAAAAATGAAATTGCATTTGGTGAATTAATACAATCAAAATATAAACCCTTCTAGTCTATTTATTGGTGATAATTTGAAGATAGTTGTAATTATTGTCAGATTGGCAGGAAAATACAGCCTAGAATTTTTTCCCGTTTTGAAAGCTGAGTGTATCTAGTGTTGAAATTATTGTAACTCACTAGATTTCAGTCTTTGAACCAAGGACTGTGCTGCTTTGAGCATATCACTTAGTAAGTTGGGTTTGTAATCATGTGTCCTAAATGTCTGGTAATAAAAACATGTTTGTGTTAACCTTTCTCTCTTTTTTTTTTTTTCTTTCCTGCTCTGTTCTTGTGATAACACTTCCTTACGTCAGATAATCTGTGGAGCAATTACTTGGAGAAAGGCGAAATACTAGAGAAAGCTGTTCACTCATCACTTGATATACCTGGGCTGAAAAGCAATCTTCATCTTTATGTGCTTTCTGATATAGCCACTTCCTTCACAGTCCTAGTTGGTATCTTCTTCCCTTCAGTGACTGGTGAGAATACTGGAAAGAGACAAATTTGTGGGATTTTTATATTTTTCTTTGCTCTTTTTGTTACCAAATATATTTTACGTAAACTTAATGTTTGTGTAGGTATCATGGCTGGTTCAAACAGATCAGGAGACCTCAAAGATGCACAAAAATCTATTCCTGTTGGAACAATTCTTGCTATCATCACCACATCATTAGTCTGTATCCTTTTAAAATTAGAATAGATTTTTAGCACATTCTAAATGACTCAGTTGAACTTTTATTGTGCTCCCAGTTCATTGTACTATCCTGTGAGGACTAAAATACCACATCACATCAGTAAAACTCCACACTCTGGTTCAGCTGAAAATATTCAAAATTTGTGCCTCTTTCCCACAACATTCTACTTTGCTTTCTGGATTCTGCTCTTTGCCATTTGATTAAAGCAAACTCATGGACTCTGTGGCATTTTAGGTTGGCTGAAAGCTGGAGACATTCATAAGAAACAGGGACAGCCATTAAGATTGGAAAAGACTTTAAATAAAAGAATCTCTGAATTTTAGTTCCTTTTTCTAAAAGAAACAAGTCTTTTATTTAGTAAAGTGTGGGGAGTCTGTGTTCTCTTTCACATAAAGTGAGTGCTTAGTAATGGAAAAGTCTGAAAGATGGCCAGGGATCAAGATGCAGTTACTGTTTTATATATTTGAGACAAAAGTTCAGCAGTAGAAAAGAGGAAGGGGTAAAGAATGCATTAAAAAGGAAATCAAAAGATACAAGACTGGTGGCAGTGGAGTTTTATAGCCCCTGGTGTGCCAGGTATCTTAGGAATCAGAACTTGTGAAAGTTGTGATATCTTTTATTAGACCAACTAGATATTTGCAAAAAAAAAGGGTTCTATTTGCAAGCTTTTGGGCACAATCACCTTTCTTCAGGCATAGGAGAAAGCAAAGATTTTAAAATCACTCCTAGGTAGAAATGAAAATTCATATTTCACAGGAGAGCTGAAGGTATATTAAGAAAGCTGACAGCCTGGCTCCTGCCCATTTTTCCAGTGAAATCTGCATGTTCACACAGCTCAAACTGCCTCAATACAAGATAATTTCCTGCCCAGGAGAACTTTCCATCACCCCAGACTACTGTGAAATATGAAATATCATAACCAGAAGGAAACATGCGACTGTTCTGACTTTTAACTGAGCCCAATTTGCACAAAATGAACTATTCCAACCAGGAGATCTTTATATACCTTCAGCTCTCCTGTTAAATATAAATTGTCATTTCCACTTAGGAGCTATGTTACAGCTGCATTTCCCTATCCTTCTCTTCCCTCCCTCTATCTCCCTCTCCCTTTCCCTCCCTGCCTTTCTCTCCCTGTTTCTCCCCCCTCCTTCTTCCTCTCTCTTTCCTCTCTTTTTAGGTTATTGAAGCTTTGTCTGCTGGATGACTCTCTTCATAGCTAGACATTTATACGCCATCCACTGGAAGGTTCATAACCTAGAAAAACTTTTAGGACTAGTCAGGCTCTTCTAATATTCTTAAAAACATAAAATAAGAAAAACAACTGTGAAAGGTCCTGGGATCTAATGTCTGGTGTTATGCCTTATTGAGGGTTAAACAGTAGTTTAACCAGCAAGCTGAAATTGTTTACAGGTGTTGTATGTAGCTTAGGAATTAAACCCCTACCATATTTTAAATCATTGGTTTAAAATTTGTTTGAATTTATTGCAGCCATAATAGTAAACACCTACTTTCCTTAACATATTTTGTATCCAAGACTTCAGCTGTGTGGTATTATTTGGAGCCTGCATAGAGGGTGTAGTTCTTAGAGATAAGTAAGTAACCATGAACCGTTTTACCATTTTAGCATGTTTTGTGGTGGGAGAAGATTGTTCCCTGTTTTTTTGTATTTTTCTGTTTGTCCACTTAGTTTGCCAAAAAGCTACAGTGTGAAATGATCCACCATCACTATTGCTGTATGTTGGAATGCCTAATATTAGATTGTATTAAGTAATTCTGTGTTTGACAGTGGCAGTTATATGTCTAAAAAGCTCAGGGAAAGAAATCTGAAGAACATTGCTAGTCAGGGCTTTAGCAGTACAGCTCAGTTTGTATTACAAATTGCTTCTCACCAGGTGAGAATGCAAAGTAGTGCTCAGACAACAAAGTGATAGGCAAAACAAATTGATGTGGAAGTCTGAAGTATTTAGGAATATTCCTCATACTAGAGTTTCTCTTCAAGAAAACATTCAGTTTTGTTTAAATAAAATCTTTAAAAAATATACTCAAATGAAAGCAAATGCAGTAATAAAAAAAGTCTCCCTTAAAATGAAGTCAGAATGGCCAACATTTCTTTTTTACAGGTATGGTGATGCAGTGAACAAGAACTTAGTGGTGGGCACACTCTCTTGGCCCTCACCTTGGGTCATTGTGATAGGGTCCTTCTTCTCTACCTGTGGAGCAGGTTTACAGAGCCTCACTGGAGCCCCACGACTGCTACAAGCCATAGCCAAGGACAACATTATTCCTTTTCTCTGGGTTAGTATATATTAAAATGGGGGCTATTTTGTTTTGGGTTTTTTTGCTGTATGTAGGTACCATTCACCCTGTGGCCTAGCCAACCATAAGAAGTTGTATTTCTAGGGACTAGAAGAAGGAGATCTGAATTTGCATATGCCATAAACCTGATACTTAGATCATTTGAGACTGATAAAATGTTGAGGACTGTGCACACATAACATAGGCATCTCTGTGTAGAGAAGCATAAAGTGATTAAGTTAATGATGGAACCCAAGACCCCTAGCAGACTGCCATTTTTATGTGATTAACATGTTAATTGTACAATAAATTTAGCATGTGTCACATACAAGGTTTTTAAGATGCAATAAAATGCCAAACCAACCACAAAGATTTAATAGATTTCATAGACATTAGGGCTGGAAGGGACCTCAGAAGATCATCGAGTTCAGCCCCCTGCCCGAAGGGTAAATGTTCCCATGTAACACAGAACATCTTTGTGGCTGGTTTGTATCATGCTTATTTTTCAGTGTGTGCCATATAGGCATCCAGGAGCAGTGTGTGCAGCCCAGCTGCATGTGAACCTTTTAAACATGTTAGCCTGTGGGAAACTGGCAGTGGTGCTTTTGGGCTGCAGTAAGCCTTTTAAATATCTCAGGCCCAGAGAACCTGAGACCAGGAAGGCTCCCTTATGTCAGACTCCTAGTGCTTTGGTGCATTTAAAATATAGATATGCAGTTGAGCCCCAGTGGGTAGCAGAATCCCAGGTTTAAGTTCCTGTGCTGCTCTGAGCCTGAAATTGAGGAGCTTCTCCCTGATGTTGGGTTCCTGGCACCCCAGGACTTTTACAGAGTGCTTTATTAAGGTCCTGCTTTGCTGTGAGCCCACTGGGGATAGGTCTGTCTTTCAAGTTGCTGCAGGTAGAGGCAGACCATGCAACTGGGATCAGAGGAATTTTATCTCCCAGTTCCAAAAGCCATGCTTCCTGCCATTCATATCTGTCGTGGCCGGATGTGCGATCGGGTGTAGAATTCCTCTGATCCCAGTCATATGACTACATTAACATCTGCAAGGGGCCCAAGAATAAGGAACTGTTTAAGAGTAAATGGCCATTACTCAGAAAGATAATTGAGATGTGAAAGTGGAAGTATGGAATACAAGAACTGAAAGCAAAAGCTGGAGGAAATAATTTGACCAATGTGAAAACCCTAGTGAGGCCTGTTTATATTTTGTGCTGGTTTTGCTTTTTCTCTTTAAATGTTTGTTACCGTAATGCAGAAGCTGAAACACTTCAATAAGGCTAGAGAGTCTGAGAGACATATTTTTGGTTAAATAAATAAAGGTGAGAAAAATCAGGTCTGTACAAAAATTTGGAAGAAAGGAGACCAAAATAAGATGGTCCATGTTTAAGTGCTACAAGACAATCATGATTAAAGCTATGTGAGGCACTGCAACACTAAAAACATATAGTCAAGAAGAACTTCAGGAGGGGTGGGTTAGTAAGTTCCTTAGTCAAGCACTGGGAATTGTTTGTATTGAACACTTTAAAACATGGGCACTTTGAAAGAGCTGATAATCTTGCTTTAATGTTTTCTTCTCAGGCTTCTGTTAAGTATCAAGAGACAGCCTGTGCCATCAGGGAGCAGTCCCAAGAGGGACATACTTCAGTTCCTCTACTCGATAACTATTTCTCTATCATTGTTCCTGAAGAATTAGGAAGAAATTGCCTTTTACCAGAACTGAGAAGCAAATATTGAAGCAGTAGCTACTTTTTAGTTGTTGCTTGCTGGGTGCAGGCTACCCCTTTTACTTAGCAATTCCCAAAGCAGGAAGGAAACATTCTCTTTTTTCCCTAAAAACTGGGAGAAAGGATGGGACAACTATTTTATATTTTCAAATTCTGTTACGTGAATAGTCTTTTAAAAAAGCAACATTTTAATGGAAAAAGTGTGTTTTTAAAGAAGGATTTGGATGGTTATTTGGTGTCTTTATTAACAAGTCCAGCATCTAATTCAGTGGCCAAGAGAGAGGGATTGGAATTAGCTGGACCCTGTCCTACTTTTTAAATGAAAGATGAAAATATAAAGCAAATCCTGCTGAGGTAAAAAATACAGGCTATTTTCAGTCATTATTAAAACCATTTATAAGCAATGCAACATTGAACAAAATATCAAATGTTATAGTACAAGTTAGTAAATATCCCTGTTTTCTTTTCATTCAGGTTTTTGGTCATGGGAAGGCAAATGGTGAACCAACATGGGCCCTTCTGCTAACAGCATTAATTGCTGAACTGGGAATTCTTATAGCTTCCCTGGACATGGTGGCTCCGATTCTCTCAATGTAAGTGTCAGTTTTATATATGAATCACAAAATAAATAGGATCTGCTTTTAGAATTGTGCTACTTGTATTGATTGATAAATAGGATAAATAGGATCTGCTTTTAGAATTGTGCTACTTGTATTGATTTTTAGAATGTTGTGATCCATTTGCTTAATAAAATAAGCATCCTGATGTCCAGCTACATTCACATGTAAAGTCTCTTGCCTGTGGAGCGCATTGTGTTTAAGTACAGATGTCAGAAAGCCTGAGGCTTAATTGATTCTGTCTTTGCAATTTAGTCTAAGCTTCATGGGATTGAATCAATAAGTGAGTGAATAGACATTCACTTTTGATTCTGGAAATGCAGCCACGTGCCTGCAGTGGCCCAGGCCAGAAGCCAGGGGCCTCTAGAGCACACCTCCCTTTTCAGCTGGAGCAGACAGCTTAGGCCATGGCTAGCCTGCTCACCCTGCAAGGAGGGGTTTGTGGGGGAGGTGCAAGGCATCCTGAGATGCTGGGGGACTGTGAGTTAACTTGAATCTGGAGTGGATCTGGGACAGACGTTCAATAAACCGATTTAGCCTAAATCAGTTAAAGCTGATACTATACCCATCTAGGTTTATCTTAAACTGGTTTTGCCATTTTGAAAGTGATTTATGTGCAATGAACATCTGTTGTGTTACAGATTTGAACCAGTTTCCAGTCCCTTATACCAGTTTATGTGTAATTTGTGTCCTTAGCTTATGAGTGGATGTTATTTTTGCCAGACTTGGATTGGTTAGAGGTTTAGCATCATTAACAAGGCTGATTGTGTTATTTGTGTATGAGAGAGAGGGAGACACTCAGACCTTCACAGACACAGTCTGCATAAACAATTCTGAATATGTTTACTAAATTGTTCCTTCCCTAGGTTTTTCTTGATGTGTTACCTTTTTGTTAATTTGGCATGTGCAGTACAAACCCTTCTTAGAACTCCAAATTGGCGGCCCCGATTTAAATACTACCATTGGTAAGCAAATTAATTGGTCTGCTTTTTTTTTTCCTAGCCCCATATTCCTTAGTGTGTATGGAAGAATGCTAACCCTCCATATAAGTGCAGGAGCCTCGTAGGGGAGAGGGGGTGATTAAGTGTTCTCTTCTTCTGGATAGAGATATGAAATGCAGCTTTAGTTCTATAGTTTATCCTGGCACCCAGCATGAGAAATAGTCCCTCTGATCACCTTAGGGTGTCTGGCAAAATGAAACAAAGATGCCATGTCCTGAGGCTGCAGAGATTGAGGAAGGATCATTTATGATTCACGTAAGTTCTTCCTACTATCTGGTAGTGTGAAGGGATGCAGGAAGAAAATCCTGTGGTGTTTAGTGTGGATCAGAATTAAGATGTTTAAGGTAGTGATAGTATCCATTCCCGCGATAGAGTATTGCAACAGTGATGAGGAGGAGTACATAGAGTGTATTTTACTGTTGTTTAGTTCAGAAAAAAATCAGAGGGTGAAAAAACCTTTTAGAGGAAAGGAACAAAAACAATGCATTTGCTTTTAGCCCTCCAACCCCCAAATACTTGCCAATATTTTTATGTTTTCTTTGTTTTTAGGGCATTGTCATTTTTAGGCATGAGTATTTGTCTTGCATTGATGTTCATTTCATCCTGGTATTATGCCCTGGTGGCTATGCTTATTGCAGGCATGATTTACAAGTACATTGAATATCAAGGGTAAGTTTCTAATAGAATGGGATAAGGAAGAAACAACATATTTCTTTTTTTAATAACTTGTCTTTTAGATTTAACATTTAGTGCATGGATTGCCGTAGCCTTGGGATCATGGCAGAGTCATGGAATTTTTTCTTTGTTAGAATATTTTTGCAACCACTTTGCAAAGGAAAGCTTTAAAAGATTTCCTTTATATGCATCTGCAGGGTGCCCCTAGAAATTTGACCACAGAACTTGGAGGCCCCTTTGTCAATCTGTTTCCCTGCTGCTGTTTACTTTCTTGACTTAAATTACTGGCAACAAAGGAAGCCTGTGGGTAGGCCTCTCCCAACGGCTGGTTCTCCCAGCCTTTATGGTTTATAAATTGGTCAGGCAGAAGGGTTGACCCATTATAATGGGAGTAAGGGAATCAGAATGCTAAACTCTGAAACTTTGCTTGGAATACAGTAAGCTGTTATAACATGGTATCAGACTGATAGTTTGCCCGTATAATTTCACTTTCATAACTTGTGTTGTCTGTGTATGTGGGAGATCTTGTTCACTGAGAAGTTTTTTCTTTCTTTTAATAAATTGTAAGCTAAAAAACATTATAGGTACCACAACCATAAGCTTGTTGAAAAATAACCAATTTTCCTGCCATAGCGAGGAAGTTGAGCAATGTTAAAATAATCTAATTGCTAACACTTGTGTTCTTTATAGTGCAGAGAAAGAATGGGGTGATGGTATCCGAGGTCTGTCACTCAGTGCAGCCAGATATGCCTTGCTCCGACTGGAAGAAGGGCCTCCTCACACCAAGAACTGGAGGTATGCATTTTGATATGTAAAAAGCAGCCGTTGCCCAGCTTCTAGGCCTGTGTATAGTGTCTAAAACAATAAATTAATGGCATGCAAAGATTAGATTGATCCTGAGCAATAGTTTTGCTGCCGGGTCATGAGAGACTATAGGGCTGTGGGAGTGGGACTTAGGGGGTCGCTCCTCCCGGATCTGGGTCATGGGCTGAGGAGGGAGAGACAGGTCGAGGTAGTCAACCAGAGACTGCGGCACTGGTATCATTGTGAAGGCTTTGACTTCCACAATCACAGCCCACTCTTTGGTGAGGGAGGCAGTGGTCTGCTGGGAAGAGACAGCCTACACCTCGCTCCACTGGGGAGTCAGACTTCTCAGTCAGACTTGCTGACCTGCTCGACCGGGCTTTAAACTGAGCCCACCGGGGGATGGGGGTGTACTAGCACTGAAGGCCCACTGGGCAGCTTTTGTAAATCCAGCAGGCTAAGGCACTCTACCCCAGTTCCAGAGCAATCCGTAGGGAAGGCAAAGGCCCCCAATACTTACATGCCTGTACACCAATGCCAGGATCTTGGGGAACAAACAGGAAGAACTGGCCCTTCTGCTAAACAAGAAGGATTACAATATCATAGGGATAATGGAGACCTGGTGGGACTCCACCTGTGGCTGGGCCACAAGTATAGATAGCTATACCTTGTGCAGGAGAGAGCATGGGGACAAAAGGGGTTGGGGGGGGTAGCTCTCTATGTCAAGGAAAGCTGACATTGGCACCCAGGGGGGACAACTGGAGACTCTCTGGGTCAAAATCCATGGTGAACAAGGCACAGGGACACAATGGTGTGAGTCTACTACAGACCACCTAGCCAGGATCAAGAACTTACCAGGAATTTGCCAGGAAACTGGCTGAGGCTGCATGCTCCCATTACATGGTTGTCATGGGAGATTTCAGGTACCCAGACATCTCGTTGGAAGAGCACTCAGCCACATCTGAATGGTTGCAAAGCTTCCTCATGTGCGTGGATGACCTCTGTCTGACTCAAGAAGTCTATGAACCAACGAGAGGCAAAGCACTGCTTGACCTGGTACTGGCAATGGGGGATGGCTTAATCAGTGACCTAATGATTGAAGGGAAGCTGGGAGACAATGACCATGAGCTGATCACCTTCACTATCCACCATAAAGCTGGCAAGTCAGTCAGCAAAGCAGAAGTCGTCGACTCAGGAAAGCTGACTTTCACAAGCTCAGGAGGCTTGTTGGTGAGGCCCTAAGGAACCATGACCCAAAGAGGAGTGGGGAGTTCAGGTAAAGTGGTTGCTTCTCAATGGAACGATCCTGGAAGCTCAAGCAATGTCTATTCCATCTGAGAGGAAAGGCAGCAAAAGAGCACAGCAGCCCCCTTGGCTCTTCAGGGAACTAGTGGACCTCCTGAATCTAAAAAGAAAGATCTATAAAGGATGGAAGGCTGGATCCACCCCAAAGGAGGAGTACTGCACACTGATCTGGACCTGTAGGGAGTGAACCAAGAAAGCCAAGACTGCGACTGAACTCCAGCTGGCTACACACATCAAAGACAATAAAAAGTCCTTTTTTAGGTATGTGAGGAACTGGAGGAAAAGCAAGGGTAACACTGGACCCCTGCTAAACCATATGGGACAACTGACAACCAACACCCAGGAAAAAGCCAACCTGCTTAACGGGTATTTTGCTTCAGTTTTTCACCAGCCCCAAGGGATGGCCCTGCTTAATACAGTACAGGATGGCCAGAGTGAGGGAGATCTGTTACTTTTCATCAATGTTGACCATGTGAAGGAACACCCTGAGAGGCTGGAGACCTTCAAGTCAGCTGGGCCAGACAGCTTACACCCCAGGGTGTAAGGAGCTGGCAAGCATCATAGCTCTGCCACTGGCATGGATCTTTGAGAACTCGTGGCACTCAGGTGAAGTGCCAGAAGATTGGAAGAAGGCCAGTGTGGTGGCTATCTTCAAGAAAGGGAGAAAAATAGATCCGGAGAACTACAGGCCCATCAGCCTGATCTCTGTCCCAGGGAAGATCTTGGAAAAAATTATCAAAGAGATCATTCTTGACAAACTGGCTGAAGGCAGTTTCCTGAGGAATAGCCAGCACGGGTTTGTTGCAGGGTAGGTCTTGCCTGACCAATCTCATCTCCTTCTGTGACCAGGTGACATATCACATGGACAAGGAAGAAGTGATTGTCATATATGTTGACTTTAAAAAAGCTTTTGATCTGGTATCCACCATCATCTTATAGAAAAACTGGCCAACTGCAGCCTCGGCTACATCACAGTCCACTGGCTGGGGGATTGGCTTCATGGTTGGACCCAGAGAGTGGTAGTTGATGGAAGTCAATCACTGTGGTGTGCCGTGACAAGTGGGGTCCCCCAAGGCTCCGTGCTTGGGCCTGTTCTTATCAACATCTTCATTGATGATGTGGACATTGGTGTCATAGATTTCATAGACAATTGGGCTGGAAGGGACCCCAGAGGATCATCGAGTCCAGTCCCCCACCCCAGGGGCAGGAAGTCAGCAGGGATCATAGGATCCCAGCATGATGAGCATCCAAATGTGTTTTGAAGGTGTTCAAAGTGGGTGCTTGAACCGCCTCAGGTGGCAGTCTGTTCCAAACCTTGGGGGCTCGGACAGTGAAGAAGTTCTTTCTTATGTCCAGCCTGAACCGGTCACAGTGGAGTTTGTGACTGTTCGATCTTGTCATCCCTTGGGGTGCTCTGGTAAACAGACGTTCCCCCAGATCCTGATGAGCACCCCTGATAAGCTTATAGGTGGCCATCAGATCACCCCTGAGCCTGCGCTTTTCCAGGCTGAACAGCCCCATTGCTCTCAACCTCCCATCATGAGGTCTGTTTTCCTGACATGTGATCATGCATGTGGCTGTCCTCTGCACCCTCTCAAGCTTCTCCACATCCTTTTTGAATTGCGGAGCCCAAAACTGGACACAGTACTCCAGCTGCGGCCTCACCAAGGCCGAGTACAGTGGGAGAATGACATCCCAGGATCTGCTTGAGAAGCATCTATGGATGCAAGCCAGCATTTTGCTTGCTTGACCAGCCACAGCATCACACTGAAGGCTCATGTTCATCTTGTGGTGAACCATGACCCCCAAGTCCCTTTCATCTGTAGTGCTAACCAGCGTAGCACTACCGAGCCTATAAGCATGGTGCAGGTTTTTCCTCCCAAGGTGGAGAACCTTGCATTTTTCGGTGTTGAACACCATATCAGGTTCTTGTCCGCCCATTTCGTGAATCTGTCCAGATCTGCCTGGATCACCCTCCTGTCCTCAGGTGTGGATGCTTTACCCCAGAGTTTGGTGTTGTCAGCAAACTTGGTCAGTCGGCTTCTGACACCAATGTCTGCATCATTGATGAAGATGTTAAACAGTATAGGCCCTAGGACAGAGCCTTGTGGGACCCTACTCGTCACAGTGCACCAAGACAGTTGGCTCCCATCGACCACCACCCTCTGGGTCCTACTGCAGAGCCAGTTCCCCAGCCAGCGGATAGTGGTGATGTCAAGGCTGCAGTTAGCTAGTTTAACCAAGAGGTGATCGTAGGATACCAGATCGAAGGCTTTTTTAAAGTCAAGGTGTACAACGTCAATCTCTTCCCCTTTGTCCAGGTGATAAGTCACCTGGTCATAAAAGAAAATGAGATTGGGCAAGCAAGACCTGCCTGCAGTCAGAAGCAGACTGGCTAAGTTCGCTGATGACACCAAACTTCGGGGTAAAGTGTCCACAGCTGAGGACATGATAGTGATCCAGGCTGACCTTGACAGGCTCGGAAAATGGGCGGATGAAAACCTGATGGCCTGCAATGCAGAAAAATGCAAGTTATTCCACCTTGGGAAGAAAAACCCTCAGCATGCTTATAGGCTTGGCAGTGCTGCTCTTGCTAGCACCATGGCCAAAAGGGACTTGGGGGTCATGTTTGACCACAAGATGAATATGAGCCACCAATGTGATGTTACAGCCAGCAAAGCAAGCAAAACTCTGGCTTGCATCAATAGATGCTTCTCTGGCAAATCCCAGAATGTCATCCTCCCACTGTACTCAGCCTTGGTGAGACCGCAGCTAGAGTACTGCATCCAATTTTGGGCTCCACAATTAAAAAAGGATGTGGAGAAGCTTGAGAGAGTCCAGAGGAGATCCATGTGCATGAGGGCAAGAAAACAGGCCTTATGATGAGAGGCTGAGAGCTATGGGACTCTTCAGTCTGGAAAAGCGCAGGCTCAGGGGGAACCTGGTGGCTGCCTATGAGTATATAATGGGTGTGCATCAGGATCCGGGGAATGCCTGTTCACCAGAGCACCCCAAGGGATGACAAGGCCCAACGGTCACCAACTCCTCCAAGACTGTTTCAGGCTGGACATAAGGAAGAACTACTTTACTATTCAAACCCGCAAGGCCTGGAACAGACTGCCATCAAAGGTAGTGCAAGCACCTACTATGGACTCCTTTAAGAGTCAATTGGATGTTTATCTTGCTGGGATCCTGTGACCTCAGCTGACTTCCTGCCCCTAGGGTAGGGGGCTGGACTCAATGATCTTCTGAGGTCCCTTCCAGCCCTGATGTCTATGAATCTATGGAAAGTAGGAACTTTAACCTAGATCTCCTACAATCCTGATGGGTCTCAACCGCCAGGGTATTGGCTGTTCTGCAGGTGCGGGGGAAGGGGGGGGGGAGGAGAGAGGGGCAACATTCTCTTAAGGGAAAATTTAGGTGCATAATTTCTCTTGTGCTCATGCACACATACATTTGACAGGGTTCTTTAATTTTCCTCTGGATTATCCAATTTACAATTTTGTTTCACCTGTCTCTTTATTATCTTTGCTTAGTGTTAAGGACAACATTCCCTTATGTTTTTCAATGGTTTCCAGCTGTCATTACAACTTCTGATTTTTCTTTTCCATCTCATACATAATAGTTTTCCGTGTGGCTATTTGAACCATATTCAAGTTAAATGACTGTGACAGGGTGCCGTCTGCATTTTTTGTAGGCCGGTGAGTGGACACCTGTCAAGTCTTGCAGAATTTTCCTCCCCTGGGAGGATATTATAGCAGTTTAAGTGCCTGTCTTTTAAATGGGAATTGATGTGCAGGAACTTATGTATAGTGAGTATGAAAAACCAGCCATATTGTGTGCCTTTTCTTGCCTTTGGTCACAGAGTCTTTGCCCAGGCTCTGCATAAGTTCAGGGGCTGGAGGTAACATAAATTCAGTGAATGCAGGGACCCTTACACTTTGTAGTACTACTGCAGAGAGGTGTGGTTCCAGCTTTAAAAGCTGGGTTAGTGGCCAAGAGTGACTTCTCTTGACCTCTTCTGTTTTATAAGCTTAAAACTAGATCACATAGGCTAAGTGAATTTTGCATGGGAAAAACAATTCTACAGTTGGTACCAGAAAAAGCAAATCACAATGGGGTAAGAAATCCTAATTAATGGAAAGTTGCATATGTACACTTTCCCCGCTCATCACTGTTGTTGATAGCACGCCTCAACCTCTAAACTAGAAATATGTTACAGGCTTACCGAGCAATCTGCTGCCTTTCTAGAGGAGTAGAAGCCTACCTTGTGACATACTTCAACCCCAGAGGTACACTCCTGGGGCCTTGTCACACTTTCAGGGATACTCTTCAGTCCCTCTCTCCTGTCTGCTGCTTGACTGTTGAGAACAGAATGAGATGCACCAGAGGTCACCTTCCTGACCCATGGTGCCTCATCTTTACCCTGCCTCACCAGGGTCTTTGCCAGCTCTTAGCAGAGGGGGTTTTCCAGGTAGAAGCAGCACACTGTTTTCTGATAACCTGCTCAGAAAAGACAGATTTCCCCTTCCTTGGAAGAGACCTGCCTGACAATAGGTGGGTTGTAAAAAATAACAAAAAGATTTATTTTAAAAACAAGAGAAAATGTAAGAAATCAGTAACCATATGTTAAGACATGGACAGGGCTATAAGAATAAACAAACAAAAGGAAATATTAGGACAGTAACCTGTTCTTACCCTGCCTCTTATATCTGAGAATGCAGTTGTTACTCAGCCCACTAGCTGAGGGACTCTAATATTTCCCTATGCCTGGGAAAACTACAAAGACTTGCTCTCCAGGCTTAAGTATTGTTTCTTATCTGTCCACTTATATACATTACCATTGGATTCTTGGAGAGTCCACACTATGCTTGTAACTTCCTGCCCTACCCAAAGGTGCATACTTATCAGACTAAAAATCTTTCCTGATTTAAGTATGACTAGGATATTTTTTTTTATCCTTTCAGATGTATCTCAAAGACATCGTCTTATTTAATTTCCCCACTACCTCTTTTCAGGCATTTAGTCTTTGAGCCTCTTCCAGGTGTGAAACTCAGTATGCAATTCTGATCTTATTATAACTTTTAAGAAATGCATTGGATATCAAATACCACAATGCATATAAGCACAAGGTTCATATAGCTGAATACAGCTTACTGTCCCTTCTCCTTTGAGACTACATGAGCCTTATTAGGAAAACAAACTCAAGAAAACACCCCACAAACAATTTGCATTATAGTGGGGTTTGTGACATACCTTAAATAAAACAAACTGACTTAAAATTCGTATTTGTTGATATTGGTGATATTGTTACCATATTTTGAGTTCTGGGAAAAGAAGAACAATGACTGCCTAGTGCTGTCATTCAAGATGCATGCAGCAAGTAGGCAGAAACCACTTGTCTATTTTGAATGTTCTTAATTTCCATGGGTTTGGTACACAATAGTCATACCATCTTACTGCATGAATAATATATGTAATCTACAAACATTGGGCAGAACCATGAAAATCCTCCCATGTAAGTAAAATACTAATGCATCTCTCTTAAACTGAGTACTTGAATTTTTTTTAATACTAAGTTCAAAACTGCATAAAGCAGAGGTTGTCAACTGGCGGTATAAGTACCCTTAGGGGTACTTAGAAAGGTG